AAAAGATTGGTCATATGGTATTCCATCTTCATAGAATCTACTGTTTGCTCCAATGTGAAACCTGTATCTATCATATGTTTGGACCCGAGATCATCTTGGATAAGCCCACAACATTCTGATCTCATTCCAGTCCCAGACCTAAGGCATACAGCTTGAAATCTTGTAGCCCAGAGGACTCCAGAATCAGATTAGGTGTGAGGATTAGGAAAAGGAGAGTGGGCAGCAAAATGGACAATATCTGAACTATGCAGTATTATCCCTTAGGAGAAGAAATTAGTGAACTTTTCTTATTCAGGTTGAGAAAAGATCACCCAGTTTTTTCCATTCTGTCTTAATGAACTATGCAACCTACCTTCTTCCAGTACAGCCTGCCAACTGTTTCAATGAAACCACCAATATATCCTGTTTAGTCTTCTAACTAAGCTAAACTAAAGCAAGCCAAACCAACACTAGACCTTTCTTCTTGATTGTTTATTTGCCCCATTTAACTCTTTCCTGTTCTAAACAATTGTAACTCCATAGTACTAAAACGTCTAAGTCTGTTTCCATAACACTGCATACAACAGATACTCCAACTACAGTACATTGCCCAAAGTTATATATCAATGGGGAGATCCAACAGAACATTCTTGGTCTACCGTAATCATGAGAAGTTACATGACTTTCCTTAAAAATTGCCAGCTATGCTGGAGAAACAATGAAGCATTCCACTATTTTCTCCTTTTGATTTTTAAAACAATAAATTGTCAAACAAAAGTGCCACTGATTATATCTGACCAACTCAGAACTGGTTCTGATTTGGACCAGAACAATGGTATATGAAAAACAATAAACTAACAATGTTTACTATTAAATGCTTCACCTTGTTTATTTCTCTGTGATGTCATGTCAAACTCCTAGAAACATAGATCACCTGTGATTCCCTTTCCAGGGTTCAGTTTGTTCTGTATTTCTTATTCTATCAGATCAATATGACTTTCAAAACTTCAGTCCAGTTCACATTGAGTGCTGTCATACTGAAGGATTGTATTTCCTCTGATTTTTTTATTTCAGACTGCAGGTGGAGATTACATTTTTGGATGCCATACTACACAGAATAAATCTTACAAGTAAGAAATAATCACATAGGGAAATTCTTTTCTGTTAAGTTTCCTACTTGAAAGGAAAGCTTGGGTTTTGCATTTGGTTTTAAAATTGATTCAGAAAGGTGAACTCCCACCCGTAGTTTGAAGTGACATAGTTCATTCCACTGCCTCATTCCCACTGCATTTTGTCGTACGTATAGACCAATCATGAAATTACCCAGGAAGACTATTATATAAGTATCCTGGGCAATATGTTCCATTGTCAACCTTCTCAGCACATCATGATCGCTGCAACAAAATCGATTTTACATCAGTATATTCCAGAATAATATGAAGTGTAGACACAAAATATGCACATTTTGAACACCTATGCATATATATTTACTTTACTGTTGGATTTGTATCTATCTTTCCTTCAAAATCTCACAGTAGCGTATGATGTATCCATCAATCTTCTTGGGGATTAGGCTTGCTGAAAAATAAAGATTTGCTCAAAATCACTACAAGCTTCCATGATGGAACCTGCGTAATCATAGTTCAGTACCTTAAATATTGTACCATTACTGCTCTATTATTTACTGTACAACCATCGACAACTGTAAGAAATTACTACAATGTCTATAAAATTGCCCAAGAGTAAGGAAATTTTCTTTTAACTCCAGTAATAGGTAACTGAGTTAGGAAAAATCCATGAGTATTCTCAGTCAATATTCCATCCTAACAATTTACTTCTAAACGATCTCTAGCAGAAGTCAATTCCCCCATGTTTATTTCAGAAATAATACAGAAAAGCAATTTGGTAAATATCAAAAGGTGAATTAATTCAACTTCATCTCAAAAAAAACCAAACCCTTCTACCTCTAGACGTTAACAACCTTAGATAAGATCAATCAATCAATCAATCGATTAGACAGGATCACACATGGAAGTTCTCTGAAATCTATAATGACTGAAAAAGGCTGGTGCTATAGAGTAGACTTGTCAATGGAAGACTTTATCTCAATTATCTATGCACAATGACTAGATTTACCATTATGCATTTCATGTAACTTTGCCTTTGAAAGATGATTTGGAGTCACCCAATTAGCACCAAGTAGATATGACACCAATACAACATTTCTAATGTAAAGGTTTGAAGTTGTAAAACCTCAAATAATTTTGAACTATAAATATTGTACTGCTCATATCTTCCTTTCTCCACTGGTTGAATTGGGAATTTAAGGAAAGAGACCCTTTTCTACAATTTCTTCCAACAGAGGAAAGCTCTGAAGATCCATTTATTTTTGATGGCCTTCTTCATTGTGGTTTCTAATAATCAATTATGTCATTATATTTTAAATATTGAATTCTCTTGGTTAAATATTTTTTATTGTTGGGTTGCATTGATGATGACTGTTATTTATCAATGAAGTCAGTTTTAAAAGGGCTTTTGCTCTTAATGGCAACCAATAAATAAATAAGCAAACAAACAAACATTTACCAATGGATGAATCCATCACAGTTGGAGAACATTGTCACAGAAAGTATTTGAACTTTGATCCAAACTCATATGCAAAAGTTTAGAATAACGTCTTCTTGTCCTCTACCTCTGCAATACATGGATGGCCACATTCATTTTCTGTTTAAAAGCAGGCAGCTACAGAGGAATTTCTCATGGGTCTCCCCAACAATGGTGCTTTAGAAAATATTTTAGTCCTAAATACTTTGGGAGATTTGGGGCTCATAACAGTATAAACATAAGTAGATCAAACAAGGGCTAATTATTTCACAGAATAAGATTCTATCCAAGTCTGTGCTGTGCTTTAGACATTCCATGTTTTGCAATACAAAATTGATTTGTATCTTTTTCATTACATCAAATTTATTTCAAATAGTTTTCAGCTTGTTGCAGGACAGCTGAGAGGAAATATGGAAAGTCATTTTCTTCAATCAAATGAATTCAATCTCTGAGTGATATGAATGCATTAAAAGGTAGGACAATAATAATAATAATAATAATAATAATAATAATAATAATAATAATAATAATAATAATAATAATGACGACGACGATGATGATGATGATGTTGTTGTTGTTGTTGGAGGGGACCTTGGAGGTTATCTAGTCCAACCCCCTGCTCAGGCAGGAAACCCTATACCATTTCAGACAAATGGCTGTCCAGTCTCTTAAAAAATTCCAGTGTTGGAGGCAGATTGTTCCACTGATTAATTGTTCTAACTGTCATAAAATTTCTCCTTAGTTCTAGGTTGCTTCTCTCTTTCATTAGTTTTCATCCGTTGCTTCTTGTCCTGCTTTCAGGTGCTTTGGAGAATAGCTTGACTCCCTCTTCTTTGTGGCAGCCCCTGAGATATTGGAACACTGCTATCATGTCACCCCTCGTCCTTCTCTTTATTAAACTAGACATACCCAATTCCAGCAACCGTTTCTTATATATTTTAGCCTCCAATCCCATGATCATCTTTGTTGTTCTTGTCTGTACTCTTTCTATACTCTCAACATCTTTTTTACATCGTGGTGACCAAAATGCAGTATTCCAAGTATGGCCTTACCAAGGCATTGTAAAGTGGTATTAACACTTCACGTGATCTTGATTCTATCCCTCTGTTAATGCAGCCTAGCACTGTGTTGGCTTTTCTGGCAGCTGCAGCACACTGCTGGCTCATATTTAAGTGATTGTCTACTCGGACTCCAAGATCCCTCTCACAGTTGCTATGATTGAGCAAGGTACCACCTATACTTTACCTATGCATTTGGTTTTTCTTGCCTAAATATAGAACCTTACTTTTTTTCCACCACTGAATTTCATTTAAAATAAATAATCTATGGAGATTAACTAAGATCATGTTTGTATAAGTATTTTTACAGTTGACAGAATACAACTTATGGGGAAAAAACAGGAGGAACCAAAGTAAGATTCTAAATAGGACCCAGATGCTTTTTCATTTTGAATTGAAATGCATCTTCTATTTAAAAAAAAAATCCAACAAATAGAATATTCTTTTTTGCTTATTTCCCAATTTTTGCTAATCATGCCTTATGCGAAAAACACTGGAATCAATGTGGGATCAAATCTATGTATTTTGCAAATCTCAATCAAAGGAATGAATTAACCAGAAGATATTCAAACTACTTCCACATTTAACTTGGATTAGCAAAATAATTACACTTCTATTTAATTTTAAAATTCGAGGCTAACCTCAAATTCTGTTTGTTGAGCATGGCATCCTAATTTTCAATATTTCAAATTAGGATGCCATAAGGCCTGTCCATGGAATATGTAATATAACTATAAGGCCTGTCCATGGAATATATAATATAACTATATGTAATAATAATGAAAAGCATACACAAATGAAGATATTTTTATTGAGGTCTTTCAGTAATAAGCAAAACAATGAAAGCAAATGGTAAGGTAGAACTTTGGAAGACATAATTCTACTAATGGATTTCTTAAAAAAAATATGCAGGGCCTCAACTTTGCTAAGTCAGTACCTAATTTTCTAGTGAGACAAGAAGCTTCTGCAGTTCTTCAATGTTGAAAAGCCATGACTCTTCCTATGACTAGAAATACTCTTTGTTGCCTATATTCATGGCTAAGTTCTTGGGTCAAGCTTGATTCAAATTAAATCATTACCACAATCTTTTAATTACTTTCAACAAGGAAATGTGAAAACATATAACTAAGAATATAAACATACCGAAGAGCTGTATATATTATTTCAAGGAGCAAGCAATATTTGCACATTTGATCTACCATCTGTCTCCTATGGGCCTGTTTTTATGAAATGCCATGTCCCTTTGCTGCAAACTCAGCTAAAAATCCCGGCCACTCAGATCAGAAACTAACCACATATTTGATTGTTTTAACCTTAGTTAGTTTAAAGACAGATTTCATAGATCTGCATAAGGCTTACCTGCCACAGGTATGGCATGGATCTGTGCCCGTGACAGGAGTTCCAACGATGGCTCACGTCCAGAAACTCCATCTGAAGAGAAACATGATTCAGTTTCATAAATTGTCTGCAACATCTCTGGCAGTCCCCACTTTGAGGATACAAGAAGCATGCCAAAGAACGATTATGCGCTGTCGTTATTCCACTTCAGTTTGCCTTGATGACAATCCTTTGCCCAACTAAAGCCTTCAAGGGGTGTCTCTTGTTATGCTAGACTGTCAGCTCAAACCATCCAACATCTCCTAAAACAGTTGCAAGCATGCAGGCATCCATCCTCCTTGGAGAAGACTATCCTTAAAAAAGTTAAATTGTTTCACAGCAATGGTGTGGTGCAGTGGCGAGGAAATCTCCAAGAATAAATCAAAGCTGTCAGGAGAGAAAACAAAAATACTTGCAGATGAAAATCTCCTTGCAAGAAGATAGCAGCAGAGGTGAAAACTTTTTCATCCACACCAGATTGAAAGGGAGAGGACTTGCAAGACACAGGAACAGGCAGAGGGAAATGATAATGGAAAAGAAGGAAATGACTTATAACCTAGCCATTATTTATTTTACTCTGAAAAGGACAGATTTAGCAACATCTTCTTAGATCTCAGGAGAAGTTTCTAAAAAACAGAACATCCCTAAAGTGATAGGTTTATTTTGAAGAGGTTCCTGAAAAATAGAGCAACAGTTCCTTAGAAGGGGCCCATTTTTGTAAGATGCAAAAGTTCGCTCCAGTCACACAATTGTTTCCCAACCCAGTCACCAAATGAGATGGCTTCTGCTGGGGGTGACCTGAAATAGAATGTCAGGGAGGAACCAGCTATAAATAAACTCAGCTGAGCTTTCACCAAGCAGGGAGGGTTCAGGCAAAAGGAGCTGCCTGCCTATCAGAAGCTGGATTTCAACCGGGATCAGAGGAAAAAGATTCCCTGAGGAAAAGTCTGTCCGCCTGCCAACTAAGAAAAGGAAGGCGACACAAGAACAAAAGGGAGGGGAATGACCCTTTCTGTGTTCTGGATGCCAGAGTCCACCTACAGACATTGCCTGGCTGGTTAAAACACTTTTTTGAGCACAGAGATCATTGAAAAAACTGCAGTAAAATGCCAAAGGCTATAATCTTGACTCCATATTTGCAGAAAAACAAAGCTGAATACAATCTGCTAAAAAGAAAAAGAAGAAAAAAAAACCCCACAACAACCAACCATAACTACAATTATGTCCTTAAAAGCAAAAAGTCTGGGTCTTGGATAAATTATATATTCTATGTGTAGTAACATGTATTCTTTATTATCACTGCTCCTAAAGAGTTATCTAGAGCACAGGTGTCAAACTTGCTGTGTTACATGACATGTTGCGACATATCGTGACTTTTTTTTTGCATTGCTGGAGCTGGGGTGGGCGTGGCCTCTGTATGATGCAACTGGCCCCCGGGCCGGAAGTTTGACACCCCTGATCTAGAAGAATCAGATGAGTTTTATATTTTGGCTGATGTGAACAGCAACATTCATCAAACATTGCTAATTCTGACAAAAGAGCAAAAATGACTTTATTAGCTGAAGAACAGATAAACATGGAGATAGGAAACTAAATTCAGTGAAATTGCTGATTTTATATTTCTGTTCTTATATTTGCAGTCAATTTGGGTATTCTACAAGTGTGTGGACCAATCTCCAGGATTCTTAGTAATGGCCAAACTGTCTAGGGAATTACTGGGAGCTGAGATTCATCTTGAAGGCACCCAGATTGGAGACAGCTGTAAGAAGACATCAGAAAGAAGTTGTTCCCCATCACCACATTAAACACAACCACACTTTTTATATCTCTAGCATCCCTTCCATAAAAGCAGAGATACACAGCACATGGCTCTCTATTAACAACTCTCATGATACCATGCCATTGACTATATTAGCTGGGGGACAACATGACTTGGAATCCAACATCATCTGGAAGATCAGTTACTTCATTTCTGCTAAATCCTATAACACAGTCCCACAAAAGATGAACTATACTTTTTAAAGAACATGAGAATGTTCTTTGCAGTACAAAATGTTTTAAAGTTAATTAAACTTCCTCTGTTCCTTTTCTGAATACAATATTTCAAGATAGTTCGTGGAAATAACTGAAGGTTTTACTGAATATACTTAGAATAAAGGAATGGCAATGAACAAACTTTTACAGCAAAATACTAACCTAATAATATTTCCATACAAGTAAATACAACCAGGTAAATCTGCACACTTATCAGACTAAGTAAGGGGCTGCATCTGGTTTATGGGCTCTAATAAACAGCCAGTTTGGTCTACCAGTTAAGGCATCAGGCTAGAAAATAGGAGAATGTGAGTTCTAGTCCCACATTAGTTATGAAAGCCAGCTGGGTGATCTGGGGTCAATCACTTCTCTCAGGTCAACCCACCTCACAGTGTTGTTGTTATGGGAAAAATAGGAGAAGGGAAGAAGTATCAGATATGTTTGCTGCCTTGAGTTATTTATAAAAATAATAAAGGGAGGAAAAAACTAGAATGATTCAGTAGCAACACTTCTGAACTAGATGGAGAGTTAATCTAATGTTGCTGGTAAAGCAGCATTATCTACATACTTCCCCATGATACTGAAATCATAGATTATAAAAAGAAATGAAGTTCTTTCTCCTTAAGAGCAGATCACATGGCAATAGATCTGAGGCCTGCAGTTTAAACCAACAGGTTCAAGTTGTTGATCTTTTCTGAGGTCTCTTTTAAAAATAGCTCTTCCTCAAACTTCACCTACTCTTTGGATCTGCCTATCCTACAGCATAGAATAGGAACTGACATTGGAGATTTGAGAGGTGGAACCATAGATTGCAACCAGAGCCAAGTCAATTTGTTGCCCCACTAAAACCAATATCTGCTTCTCTTCAATAGGTTTTTTTGGGGGTAAAGTTGGTATTCTAAACTTGGTAGAATACTTTCTCATTGAATTTAAACCTATAAAGCCTACATGGCATAGAGCTAGTCTATTTGCAGAACCACCTTTCTTCCATTGTCTCAGCTTGTCCCACCACATTTAGCAAAAAGGACTTCCTACACAGCGCTTTTATCAAACAATGTCACCTTATTGTACCTCAGAGTTGGGCCTTCTCAGTGCCAGTGCTTGTTCATGACATCCCCCATCCTGAGATTCGAATGACCCCCAACCCTGTTAGTCTTTTGCAAGGCACTGAGACCTGGTTGTTTTCTCAGACATTTGGATCAAAATAAGGAAAATTACCTTGATAGAAATATGCAAGAATTGTTTCCTAGGTAAAGAGCCCAGAAACAGTTGTAAGCCACTTACAACATTACAGTATTCAAAAGCTACTCAGGCAGATGCCACCCCTGATGCACTGAAATATAAGACTGGGGAGGAGCTACAGCACAATCAGATTTGTAAGATGCTGTTATTATAGCTAATTTCAATAAAAGTAGTTCCAGGTCTTTCTATGGAATTGATTTTCTGGTTTGGTTTACTTAGAGCGGATGACAGGAAGGCAGATTAGCTCTGCTACAGGACGGTAAATTAGCATGTGTTTTTTGGGAGTGGAGTTAATATTTTATCCTTTGGTGCCAGGGGCTATATGTTTTGGTTTTGTCTTTTAATCTTTATACGCTGCCCAGAGTTGCTTATGCGCAGTTAAACAAACAGACAAACAAACCTTCCTGTCACCCATTACGAATACAATTAAATATACTGAGCTACCTGTATTTATTGTAATCAGAAAGATTCTTCTTCTCCCTCTTGGGTTCCCTCACTGCAAATCATCAGGCTACAGAAATCTGCAGGAATCTCTCTCTGCTTATGTACAAGATTTTACGTTAAGTTCCTCCATACCATCATTAGAGCAGAATAGCAGAATTGCTTAATGTGCTTATTGTACGCAGTAGTGGATTGCTGGATCATTTTCAGATGCAGAGTGGCTTTGCAAAATAGGTCACTACAATTCCATTTTCCAGATGGAGAATTAAAATAGGGAAGACTGTATAATTCAAGACAGAGAAACTTTTAACTTCTCTCGGTTCCATTATAATACCAATCTGACCCAGAAAGCTAGAAACATATGGCAATTCAGTTATTTTGCATGCTTAAAGATCTAAGTTTAATTCCCTACAGTACAAGGATAGGCCTAGAATTAATCCTCTATAAAATACTGGAGAAGTACTATTAATAGGCAACATTAGGTAAATGGGCAGAAAGATGCATATGCCCTAGGTTTCCCAACCCAATATAACCAACATTGTGCTAAGTACAGGAAGTCCTCAACTTATAACCATTTGTTTGGTGATTGTTCAAAGTTACAATGGCACTGAAACTTATGACCATTTTTCACATAACTGTTGTAACATCCGCATGGTCAGTTGATTAAAATTTGGACCCTTGGCAACTGGTGTATATTTATGACGGCTGCAATGTCCCACAGAAGCCTGATTCACTTAACAACTGTGCTACTAACTTAACACTGCAGTAATTCACTTAATAACTGTGGCAAGAAAGGTAAAAAGGGGCAAAACTCAGTTAACAACTGACTTGTTTAGCAACTTTGAGGCTCAATTGTGGTCATAAATCAAAAACTACCTGTATTATCAATAGTCTGACTTGGTATAGGTGGTTCTCAATTTATGACTACAATTTTTGTTGCTAAGCAACATGGCCAATTTTATGACTTTTTTTTATCTGATTGTTAAGTAAATCATGCAGTTGTTAAGTGAATCCAGCTTCCCCCAGTGACTTCCCCCACTAACTTGTTAGAAGACAGCTGTGAAGATTACAAATGGTGATTACATGAGCCTGGGATGCTGCAACCATCATAAATATATCTATGCCAAGCACTTGAATTTTGATCACATGACTTTGGGGATGCTGTGATGGTCATAGTATGAAGACTAAATTGCAAGTCACTTTTTTTAGTATTTCCGTTGTAATTTCGAACGGTTGCTAAATGAACGGTTTTCAGTTGAGGACTATTTGTTTATAGCTTCTCCCTTATGTACCCAAAATTACTTTGCTCGTTCTCCCTATCTCACATATTACAGGAA